GGATTACCTGTTCTGGGTGGGAAGGGCTTGTCCTCCCCTTTCTCCATTAAAATTAAGGTGTTAGCTTTAAAACCTCTTTTTGGCAAGAGACCTTAAACTTTCAGAACTTTAAATTTTTCAGGTAGTAAATCAATTACTTAGTATTTTCTCAAATCAATAATACCTCCACATGCCCAAGGATACACTTCACACAAAAGACACTTCCAAATAGATCAACCAACCTCATCCAGACCCCACACAAGGCACTCACAGATCAACACCCCAGCGCTACAACAACTCAACACATCCAGATCTGAGCCTTCATCACTTGATTCCGCATACCCTCAAGTTCCCCCAAAAGTTTCCAGCCATGTCTGAGAAGCAGCCCTGGGACATGGGCAGGTGAGGAGCGAGCTGTTCCAGGCCCAGCTGCTATGGGCCTGGCCTCTGTTGCTCTGGTCCACTCCACAATCAGCTGCTCTGGGCCCGGCTGCTCCAGGCCTGGCCGCTCCCCGCCTGGCTGCTGCTGCTCCAGGCCTGGCTGCTACCAACCCAGCTGCTCTGGGCCCGGCTGCTCTGGGCCCGGCCACTCCCTGCCTGACAGCTGCTGCTCCGGGCCTCGCTGCTCCCGACCTGGCTGCTCCAGGCCCGGCCGCTCCGGGCCTTGCCACTCCTGGCCGGGCAGAACAATTTTCATTGTTCCATTTATATTAAGCATGTCATTTTCCATTTTATTATTTTTCTCCTTATATGCTGTTTTGAGAACAAATACATTATTTTTTCTTTGAATAATAACCTTTAATTTAAAAATCTTCATTTCATTATTGATCATTTTCTGGGCAAGAGGGTTGGTTATAGTATATATTGAATAGCCAATGTGCTACCATAAAATGAATATTTGGAAAAGAAATAATAAAATAGGTTGTTTAATAAATTCATAACAATACATTCCTGAAAATTAGTTAAACCGTACTATGATGACACTAAATCTGATATACAATATATGTAAAGTATATGTTATCAACAGTGGGTGAAAACACCTCTTCGGGGTAGAAATTAGTTCTTAAAGAGGCAGAAAACATCCTATTCTTCCTTTATATAAAGCATAAAAAGATATGTGAAATATATAAACAGATATATCACATATCTGTGTTTTAAAACTGCCATATGGTGTGTCATTAGGAACAAAATATCTAAAAGTACTCCTTAAGGGGAAGCGATTAAATAAAGGTTAAAAAATAGTGATTTTGGAAAATAGTAAGAAGAAAATTTATGTTTTTCATATATTGTGTTATGTGTTTTCATGTACTGTTTTCAACTTTTTTTCAAGTAATATGAGAAAAATTTATATGAATGTTTATGATACTCATAAAATCTTGCCTTCGCTCTTAAAAAATGAGTTACACCTTGTAAGCACTCATGGATGTGTAATGTACTGAAAGGATACATGACAGAAGAAAGGTCCCAGGGCAGCAGAATGAAGGGCCAAGGCAATGGCACCCTCCTAGGCCGGGAGTGACAAGTGCAATCCACCCTCCCACAAGGCTGACTGCTTAGGATTGACACTGCACTCTCTCGCAATCGGGAACCTCTCAGGGGATGTCAGAATGCCGGTTTTGGCCCAATCCCTGCAGGCCAGGCCAAGGGACCCTATTGGTGCACAAATCTGTGCACCAGGCCTCTAGTTATTCAATAAAATACAGCAGATTAGTATTACCATTTAGTGTTTATTCTAGGAATATTCAAATGATTAACATCAAGGGCTCTGGTAATACATTTTACTACCTCAACAAATCGAAGGCTAAAATTCTTTTAAGTAGAATTGGAAAAGAAGAGAAGCCCTTAAACAGAGTAGAAATTAATTATCAAAGCCCACTGCGGCCATTTTGCAGGAATGCTGAAGAAACTTTCATGGAAAATGAGGACCATGGATTCCTCTTATTCCCACTTCATTATCTACTCTATTGCCGTGCAGCTGTATCATTATAGCTGATAAGGTAATTCAATTAACTCCAAAGTCAATCTTGAAAAAATATTATTTTAATTGCAAATGAAATGTACATATTTTGATAAAGTCTAGGAATCCTTATTAAAAGTACTAGTGATAATAGAAGAACCCAGTGAATTGGTTACTCTTCACTGGAACTAACTAGGTAGAATGGTAAAAAAAAAAAAAAAAATTAAAATTAAAAAGTTAAAAAAAGTGCTTTTATATTAGTAACTGGAATATTAAATTCATAAAAATAAATTTCACAAGAAACAACATCTCTCTGGGAAATTTTTTATTTAAAAATGTAGTCCAAATAAATATAAAAACATAGTGTGATCCTGGATATGACAGTTTGATAATAATCCTTTATGTATGTAAAGGTAAAGAAAGCAATCATAAAGATAGAAATATTTGACCTGATAAAATTTTAAATGCTTACAGAGTGAATGCCACCAAAATCAAAAGTCAAACTATTGACTATGGAAAAACTATTTGCAGTTCATATAGCAGACAGAGATAACTGTTCTTAATATCAACAACCCCAAGAATTAATAAAAAAAAAGACAAAACATCACCATAGAAAGTTGGCAAGGTTATGAATAGAAAAACTCTCTTAAAAATAAAGTAAATCTAAATAATCAATACACACATTAACAGATAAGCAAAAGCTTGATCAAGTTTGATTATATCTGATAATGGTACAGATTTAGAATAAAAAGCACTTTCCTACCTTGCTGGAAGGCAAGTGATTTTCTATAACATTTTGAATGAATTTATTAATACTTTTTTTTAAATTTAAAGCTCTATAAACCTGTCCTTTGCCCCAGCAATGCTAGATTTGATATTTTTATAGATATGAAAGTTAAATAAGCCGAGACTGGTTTGGTTCAATGGATAGAGTGTTGGCTTGGGGACTGAAGGAACCCCGGTTCGATTCCGGTCAAGGGCATGTACCTTGGTTGCGGGCATATCCCCAGTGGGGGGTGTGCAAGAGGCAGCTGATCAATGACTCTCTCTCATCGATGTTTCTAGCTCTCTATCCCTCTGCCTTCCTCTCTGTAAAAAATCAATAAAATATATTTAAAAAAAAAACACAAAGAAAGAAAAAAAAAGAAAGTTAAATAAATATGGATATTGAATAAGGATAATTAATATAGTCTTGTTATTGAAGCAGCAAAATGCTTAACATTTTTCCAGATGATGATTTCTTATTAAGGGAAAACTATTTTTTCAATGAGTCATCAGGGAGAATGTTTAATTAAATAAACATTGAATGCTATGGGAAAATATGCAGCTGATGAAAAAAATAATTAGGACCAAATCTTTTATCCAGGGCAAAGGGGGGTGGGGGAGTTTGTCTATGACTGTTGGTGAGTTACAGTAGAAAAGCAAGTTTCAGAGTGACATATAAAATGCAAGCCCATTTATGTGATTGTACGTATATGTTTAGATGAGACAGGAGATGTTAAGAAGGAAATATGCAAAGTGGTTCACAGGGGAATTTGTTAATTCTGTGTATTTAGGATTATTTAACCTTTCAAGTGTATTACTGTTTTATATTTTTAAAAAGGACATGCCAATTCAAATTAGGAAGCAACTTGAGTCCACAGAAGTGCTAGATGGAAAAGTAATCGTTTTAGTATTTTATTTCTAAAATGATATTATTAAAATTCTGCTTTTCTCTACATTTTTCAAATGTGAGTGGAAGAAAATACATTCTGATATCCTATGTTGGCCTAGAAAAAGGGAAAGTGAGCTTTATTTCTTCTTTTCTTTCAATAAATCATCTGGTATCATCTCAGAGGGATATATTATGACTGATTCCAATACTCAGCCTGTGCTCTTCAATTAATAGTTAAGTTGGTATTGCACATTTTCATTCCAGTTGCAAACTTGTTTGTAAAATGAGTTTTCTTACCCATAGGACAAGTAAAGAAATAATACACGCTATATTTACAGGTGTATTTTATAATATTGTTATTTGTAATAACAAATTTATAGAATTAATGTGATAGATTAAGAGGTTAATTTATTAATATAGTAAATTTTATTATTAACTAATAATATGGACATACAATGTCCTAATATGTTAATGAATGTGTGCATATACACAAACATACATTTCTTGGTATAAAATATATCTCTCTCTATTTGTGGCCGAAGACATAATAATATTTAAACATTTATATATTACTTTAATTTTGCTTACTAATATGTAAGTTATTTTATAATATACTATGTGCATTATAGAAACTTTATCCTTAGAGTAAAAGAATTATATAAAAATGCACCCTTATAAACTGATGAAAAAAATAGATCCAGAGACCTAAAAGCATGGGACAGACTGACAAAGTTCAGAAGAAAGGCAGGGTTGTGGGGGGTGGCTGAGGAGAGCTTAACAGGGGAACTTGTATGCATATATGCTTAGCCCATCAACAGACAATAGTGTGGTGAAGGCTTGGCGCAGGGGCAAGTGTAGTGTGGAAGGGGTCAATGGGGAACAAAAGCAAAGGGGTCATCAGTAAAACTTTAAACAATAAAGTTAAAAGAAAAATGTACCCTTTCTGTGTATACAGTAATTTTATCAATAGAAATGACTTTTAAATATTATCAAATAGTGAATAATGAAGAAATAATGCCACTTGCAAACATTTAATATTTTAACAAGTTTTCTAATTGCTTAAGATGTATTTGGTATGGTAGGTTCTAGTTGGTATGTTTCAAACTATCCTATATAATTAAAGCTTAATATGCAAATTGTCCCCTCAACTGAGGCAGGGCAGGAGGCCAGGGGAAGGGAGTTACCCCCTCTCCCCCCACTCCCCAGCCGGCTGCCACTAGGGACCCTAACCATGCACAAATTTCATGCACTGGGCCTCTAGTTTATTTAAATAAAATGTTATTCTAGATAATTGTGGGCTCCTCATTTTATATGATAGTGGCTGAAATTTATGCACTGACAAATACTAAATATATTTAAAAATAAATTACAGTTTTAGATTTCAATTCCACTGTCTCTTTGTTCATCTAGGTGGCTTTTACTGTACTTTTTGACTTGGAAGCACTTCTGAAGATATGGTGTTTGGGATTTACTGGATATATCAGTTCATCTCTCCACAAATTTGAGCTGTTACTTGTGATTGGAACTACTCTTCATGTATATCCAGATCTTTATCATTCTCAATTCACATACTTTCAGGTAATACAAATAATGCCTATTTGTCTTTAGATATTTTTTTATTCCAGAGAAAATACTAGTCACATTATAATAATAATTGTGTAAGTTTATATATAACAGTTATGTATAATTATTAAATGCACACTTAAGGTAGGTTTGATGGCATCTTAAATACCCAAAATAGTATGTTCATAATTGTACCATTGTTTTTAAAACTCCTGAAAATTCATAGTAATAAATGGAGATGTTTTAAAAATACAATTCATAAGTTAGCACAATGTGAAGATATGTATATTACATATACATTGGTATTATACATCTATGTATATATCAAATTTTAAACTACACAAAATGTTGACACACTTTAAAGAGTAGGAAATAAGAATTTAATTCCAAGTGGAAATCTCCCTTTTGTGTTTTTTGCTTGTTTTTAATCCTCACCTTAGAATATGTTTTCACTGATTTTAAAAGAGAAGTAGGGAAGAGAGATGGAGAAAGAAAGAAACATCAATGTTTGAGAGAAACATTGATCAGTTGCTCCTGTATGTGCCCCCAGGACAGAACCCATGATCTGTGTTTTGTGCTCTGACTGGTAATCAAATCCAAAACTTTTTAGAGTACAGGATGATGCTCCAACCAGCTGAGCTATTAAGCCAGGGGAAGATCTCTCTTTTCAATAAGGCAACATATGTTTATTCAACAGTGACTTCCAATTAAAATAAGAAATAAAATTTACCTTAAAAACTGTAAGTCAAACTTCATTATTTATATATGTTTATTTCTTTATAATGATTAAATAATAATAATACTTATAATTTTTATAATAATTGGATAGCTATTTATTCAAATGTGAAATCTTAAAATATATTACTTTATAATTATCAGTAAACAAAAGTAATTATTAATTATGCCTTTCATAATTGTTTAATAACAGCAATGTACTCATTGTTCTTTTGAATACTTGCTCAAAATGATAAACTATAAATATGTGATATCCCAATTTTTAAAATCTCAAATATAGTTACTCTCTGATGAAAAATTGGTCATTTATATAATTTATTATGGAAATACCATAATATGCATTATTTTCTTAATAATTATTTTAAAATTGTTAGATAACAAAGTAGCAGTTAAATTTAAAGAATTCAGAGAAATAAGATTCCAACTTCTTAGAAGAAAGAAAATGCATTTCAATGTCATTAATTTTATTTATTGGTAGTACCAAAGCTGTCATTTTCAGGGCTGTATTAACTTAAGATGCTATAACCTGAAACTATCTATTGACTTGGAGAAAAGGACATGAAAATATAATTAATAAAAATGAAAACCAAATTCACTTCAACATAAAATGATGATCTTCAAAAAATCGCTACTGAGCATATTGAAATCATGGAGGAGTATCATGGTTTAAGATTTTAGTACCATCAACATCTTTGCACATAAATCCCTTGTCCCATGTTGGGTACAAATGGGCTTCCCAAACATTCATGCAATATAGGCCCATTGACACTGCTATCTAGTTTCACAAAATCAGCATGAGCATGTAGTGCTTACCTTAGAGAACCATTGTAGATAATTATAGGAAATATGGCTGATAGTCAAAAGCTACATGATAATTTAATATAAACCTATCATATCAGCCAAATTTAAAAAATGCTGATGCATATTTCAATAAAGATATAGTATAAATATATTTGGAGGTTGAAAATTCTTATAGATTCTCATAGACAATTTTTTGTAAAAAATGTTAGAAATAGATCAAAATTAGAATTCTTTATGAGATAAAAAAAAAATGGAAACTGTTTAAATGGTAAATATTTGAGGAATAGCTTAGGAAGTCATAATTTGACCATAAAATTAATAGCTGTGATGAATTTGCAATAACAGAGATATAATTGTTTTATTTAAATGCAAAATAGTAAAAACTCATATAACATCTAAAAATGACTGGAAGGTAACTTGATTTTACACATGAAATACTATCTTAAGTCATTAACAAACCATTGGGTGGCTACTAAACTGTGCTGAGTGCATTGTTCCATTTGTTTCTCATAATAATTATGTGAGCTAGACAGTGTACATGTAAATGAAGGTCCCAAGAGATTTGAGAGCTTGCCTAAGACCTACCGTAACTACCATGTTTCCCTGAAAATAAGACATCCTCCGAAAGTAAGACCTACTTACAGGTTTCCTTCTGAGTGAAATATAAGGCATCTCCCCGAAAATAAGCCCCCCCCCCAGGCTAAACATGAGAGATTTGGTCCACGGATTCTGAAAGAAATGGAGTCACAGGAAATTCACCAGGAAATTCAGGAATTGGATTGTTATGATGATGTTCCAGAAGATGATGACATGATTGTCATTGAATAAAAGTAAATTCTTGATACTGTAGGATTCACAGTTTGTCTGGTTTGTGTTGACAACTACAGTACTACCGTATACAGATAATAAATTTCCTTTATTTTCATTTAACAATAAATGTGTACTGTATTCTTCTTCATGGGAAAATAAAAACATCCCCTGAAAATAAGACCTAGCGCATCTTTGGGAGCAAAAATTAATATAAGACACTATCTTATTTTCGGGGAAACAGGGTAGCAAATGGTAGAAACTCATCACCAGCAAGTTTAATTTCACAGATCATATTCTAAACCACACAATTCCAGGGGTCCTGAAACTTTTTAAAGTGGGGGCCAGATCACGGTCCCTCAGAGAGCTGGAGGGCCGGACTATATGAACTACTAATTCCTACTGTAACACCTCGGCTGCGCTCACTGCCCAAAAAAACTGGCGGGCCGGATCAGACTCCTCTGCGGGCCGCATGTGGCCCGAGGGCTGTAGTTTGAAGACGCTACTAGTACTTACTAATCAAACAAATAGTCTCTAAGAGAGTCTTAGAAATGTGACCAGGAAAATGTGATTTGGCAACTATCACAAAATGTTCTACAGACCTTATGTGTGAGAGTATCAATAGGAACACAAAAATCAACATATTGGGTAGACAGAACAAAAATCATACTTCTCCCCAAATAAATGAAAAGGCATAATTATAAGGATTTTGGCTTCCCTAGGATGCAAGGTTAATCCTTTGAAATTGTTGATCAAATCACCAGTGTGGGAGTTGTGTTAAGCTCTGTTTCTTCCAGCTAATGAAATATTAATTTATCAAAATTACACAGATGTGCATAGGCTGTTTTTATTAGAATTTGGGATAGGATTCAAAATTACAAAGGAAATTCTTTAAATATAATTTAAATGGGGAAAACACACAGTACTAAATCTGAGCTATAAACCAGTTAAAATGTTTCTGTAAACTTGCTTATATTTAAATATTAACAACTAGATACCGATCATTTATGTTTGAGAATAAACAACTCTAATAAAAATGTGAAATCTTCCCAGATTAGTATTCTAGGTATTAATATGAATGTGAATGTGAATATGTTAATGGTTTTTATGATAAAGCTGTTGGCTTGTTATTTTGAAAGATAGGCTCAGTGTAATGTGCTGATTTCAGATATATACTTAAAGTATTATAACAGGAAAAACTATTAACCATATTTGTAATATAATGCTTAATTTGAAGGTCTTTGGCATGAAGGAAATATACATTTTCTAGACTTCTTGAAACATTTGTCTATTTGTTTACTAGACATGTGGCTAGAGACCATATATCATTTGTGTTCTTCAGACAATAGGCATGTGTGGGAACCATGTCAGGTCCCACAGGATAGTCAAGGCTGGTGGGAGAACAGAGGCCTTGTTATCAATACACCAGAATGGCCAAAGGCCGCTCTGGGCATGTGCCTAAGGGGGATGCTCAAGGACTCTGAGCCTGGGAATCTTTTTTTTTTTTTTTTTTTTTTTTTTAAATATATTTTATTGATTTTTTACAGAGAGGAAGAGAGAGGGATAGAGTTAGAAACATTGATGAGAGAATCATCCATCAGCTGCCTCTTGCACGCCCCCTACTGGGGATATGCCCGCAACCAAGGTACATGCCCTTGACCGGAATCGAACCCAGGATCTTTCAGTCCCCAGGCCGACGCTCTATCCACTGAGCCAAACTGGCTAGCCTGGGAATCTTAATCAGGCCATATGAGCGGGTGCAAGGACACAAGGTACACTGTGCCCTTCTGTAGCCAATATGATTGATGTAACCATCTTTGATTGATGATACCTCTTTGTGTAAATGGTATCAGAGTAGGTTACCGACCACCTAGTTGCCTGGAGTACGCTAGAGTGAGAAGTCTGCTAGAGTATGGAGAGAACAGCTGGGATGGAGTGTGTGAAGTCTGCTAGAGAGAGCAGCTGGGCAGGAGAGACAGGAGAAGCTGCTGAGCCAGAGAGCTCAGGAACTGCTATGAAGTGAGGCAGTGAGTCTAGGATACAGCCTGCGGCTGCTTAGATAATAGCTGTACAGACACTGATGCTACTTTATGGGAAAGATATGCATTTACTAGCCGGTGTCTGGCTGCCTGCCTGTATGGACTTTGCATGGACTTTGCTGTGAGGACTGTTTTTATCTGATGGCCATACTGGCTTCTGCAATAAAGACTTATTCTTTTTAAAAAATATACATATTTTATTGATTTTGTACAGAGAGGAAGGGAGAGAGATAGAGAATTAGAAACATCGATGAGAGAGAGTCATCGATCACCTGCCTCTTGCACACCCCCTACTGGAGATATGCCTGCAACCAAGGTACATGCCCTTGACCGGAATCGAACCCGGGACCCTTCAGTCCCCAAGCCGACGCTCTATCCATTGACCCAAACCGGTCTCTGCAAGACTTATCCTTGTATACCCACAACCTCTCACAGCCTATACCCGGCATCCTAGGAGGCCCAGCCCCAGGCAGAGGGGCTCAGACCCAACACCTGCTGTCTAGTGAGCAGAGGATAAAGGAGGAGCTTGAACTAAGTTCCCAACAGTTAGTGCAGTGGGCAGGATTCGAGTAGGAGTCAGTCTTGGCAGAGTTAGAAGAATACGTGTACTCACAGCCATGCAGAGCCAGTCAGACCAGCAAAGCTGTGTGGTGCTCTTGCTGCTGGCTCTGGCAGCATGATAATGTTACCTCAACACTTCCTGTTAATTCAAAGTTTAGGGGGCAAAGTTCAGAGGCTAACATTGTATTATTGGGATTCAGTCACTTTTCTTCTTTGTTGCTACCATTCTTAAGCTGACTTTCTCCATGTAAAGGCAAAAATGTCTCCCAGAAGCTTGAAGCTGATATGATTCTTACAGTAGTACCAATTGGGAACAAAGAAAGGGAATACTTTTCATAAGGCCAACAAATGTTCTGCTGAATCAAATAATTGTGAATACTCTGGACAGGCCTGGATCTCGGGGATTTGGGAGTCCCCTTACGAGTGTAGTAATGATTTGTTAAAGAAAAATCAGGGAAAGCAGGAAGCTAGGGATGCTGGAAAGGAAAATCCAAATATTTATTATTTTTACCCAGGCTGGTATTCTCAGTGGTTAGAGCATCAGCCTGTACCCAGAAGTGTCATGGGTTCAATTCCTGGTCAAGAGCCATACCTGGGTTATAGGTTCAAACTTTGATCCTGATCAGGGCACATGCAGGAGGCAACCAACCACACATTGATGTTTTTCTCTCTTTCTCCCTCCCGATGCTCTATCCATTGAGCCAAACCAGTTTCGGCTCTCCCTCCCTCTTTTCCACTCTCTCTAAAAATATTCTCAGATGAGGATTAACAAAACAAACAAACAAATCATATATTATTTTGTATGTGTAAAATTAAAATCTTGTTTTTTAAAGCATTTCCTGTTTCTTACTGTATTTTAAAAATATTTTTATTGATTTCAGAAAGGAATGGAGAGGGAGAGAGAAATGGAAATTCAGTGAAAGAAAATCATTGATCAGCTGCCTCGTGTACACCCTTTGAGCCTGTAACTTGGGCATGAACTGGAATCGAACCCAGGACCCTTTAAGTCCACATGCAGATGCTCTATTTTCTGAGCCAAACCAGCTAGGGCTCTTACTGTATTTTTTAATAAACTATTCACCTTTCTTCTCTTAGGAAGCCTTCACAGATAACTTAAGCTCTTATAGATATTGAATCAACTCAGACTACTATTCTATTTACCATACTTTATTTATGCCCAGGCAATTTTCCTATTTTAATACCTCTAAATTTGGGGTCCATCTTATAATGTTGCCTTTAATTGGCAACATTTTTTTACTTCTCAGATGTACATAAAAAGTTGATAACATTGTAGACTGAATGTAAAATGCTACTTTTCCATATTTTATACTGCAACTTTTAATTACATTGTCATTTACATTTTTAATGCTATAGATATTTTTATTCTCCCTTTGTAATAATAGCCATTGGATATATTTGTCCAACACAATGTGTGGCACATAACAATCAATCAGTATAAGCTAAATGAATGAGAAAATAAATTTATTAGTTATTGGTGGGAGTTTTTGCACATATAAATATACACACATACATAATATACATGTAAAACATATATGGGTGTTTTGATAACAAGCTAATATAACAAAGATCTAAAAATACAAGGTTTACATACGATAGAAGTTTGTCTAGTTGGTGGGTGTCCAGGACAAGGAATTGGTTCATCTCTGTGTGGGCATCCAGGAAGTTGGTCTTTTGTGTCAGATTGGATTCATCATCTTCTATTCAAGGCTTCTATTTTTGGTCCAAAAGGTGTACTTCGATTGTTTCCATTTCCCAGCCAAAGAAATGTATAAAAAGAGTATCCAGGACAGGTTTGTTTATTTTTATGTACTAAAATAAAGTACATAAGTCACTTCCTTTCACCTTCCATAGGCCTTAGCCTAGTCTGCTGGCCATACCTAGCTCCAAGCGAGGCTGGAAAATGTAATCTGCAGCCCTAGGTAGCTTTTTCTTAGGATACAATTCAGAAAGTTCTATTTCCAGGATGGAGAGAATGGATATTGGAGTAGCAGTCTCAGCCTTACATAAAGGCTCCAAGACAGAAAGTTTTTAAAACATTTTTTTATGAATGTACACTAACACTTGGGAAGTTTTACCGTATTAGACAACTGGAGGCTTGATGCACAAAGATTCCTGCAAGAATAGGCCTTCCTTCCCCTGGCTGCCAGCACTGCCTTTGCTCAGGCCAGAGCTACCTTTCTGCCTACCCAAGCTGCCCAGGGGCCTGGAGCAGCTGTGGTGGTTTGGAAAGCCTGTGTCATCACCATGGTGATGATGCAAGCATCCCGCCCCGCCCCAGCCACTCAGCACCTGTGTATGCAAATTAACCCACCATCTTTGTTGGGTTAATTTGCATACTCACTCCTGATTGGCTGGTGGGCACTGCAAAGGTACAGTCAATTTGCACCTTACTTTTTTATTAGTGTAGATGAGTATTGATACTATTGAACTGCATTTTCCTCTATATTTGAACATTAGAAAAATATCAATTTTATTCAACAACATGTACTAGTTAATACCATTTTGAAATATATGTTAAAACAATTGTCACTATTTTTCTTCATTCATTCATTCATTTGGGATTTGTTGAGCTGTTTTTGTTTTGTTGGTGTTTTATTTTTCATCTTTTAGTTTTTATTTTTAAAATTTATCTTTATTGAAAGTATTACAGATTTCCCCCTTCATCCCCCATTGACCCCCTCCACCCCTGTACCTGCCCCCTCTCCATACCTACTGCACTGAGTCCTTGATATAGGACAGATAGTGAGCTATATTGATATCTTAGTTATTATATTGTGAATTTTCCTCTCTAGATGCTTAAGTGGAAAAGTGTAATTTTACAAAATGCTATGAAAAATGAGGTTTAATATGAACTTATTTAAGATTCAGTGTAAACAAATGATCGAATATGTATGATTTTCTCTCCCCCAATAGGTTCTTCGGGTGGTTCGGCTTATTAAGATTTCACCTGCATTAGAAGACTTTGTGTACAAGATCTTTGGTCCTGGGAAGAAGCTTGGGAGTTTGGTTGTATTTACTGCCAGCCTCTTGATTGTTATGTCAGCAATCAGTTTGCAAATGTTCTGCTTTGTCGAAGAACTGGACAGATTTACAACATTTCCAAGGGTAAAAACTAAAAGATGTTGTTGAAGTCATTATTCTTATTATAGTAATAATGATTTACATCAAAGTAATTTCACTTTATCAGTGGTTCAATCATGCTGTCATATTTTTGATAACTTGGAGTAGCTAGTTTTAATATTTAAAACGGTCTCTCCTGCAGGGTGCAGGTGTTTAAGCATATGTGCAGCTTATGCACTAATTCTATAATTCTGGAAATAATTGAATGGAATAAGATGCTGAGACCAGTAAAGATTGAATGTAGGGTTCTCAGCACCTATAAATGAAAACATAATAGAATTTTAAAACAAAGTTTGCTCTTCGTTTTTTGTTTGTTTGTGAGAGTTAACATTTTAAAATCTGTTTTACAGTTCAGATATTTTTATATCAGGTATACCCCAGAAGGATGTTTTGAATTTTAAACTCATAAACTCTTCTAAAGATTTGAACTCTTTAGGTCATCTAGTACATGCATCAGCATTGTCATTAGATTTCACTTACGCTTAAAAGGAAGTTAAAAATAAATCAATCCACAAGCAGAACTCATGTAGAAGATTTAGCCTCTAACCAGAGGGATCCTGAAAATTAACTCCATGTGGATTTAGAAACATTAAAAGTTTAATGACCAAGATAAAATAATGTATATATCTTCACCATAAGCTTACATAGTAAATCCTATTATATAAAAAACATAATATTGGGATAAGATATATATATATGACTCAGGTATTAGGACCATGCCCCCCATCGTAGTTTTGTGGCCTTGTCCTTTGTCCTTCTGTTGGCACCTGACATCCTTTCTTGGGGGACTGTGCAGGGGTGATGGTGTTCAGGAATTTATGTAAAATAACCACTCAGGGAGAGCATGTTTGTGCAAGGAGAAAGCCAGGATCTTTCTTCCACTGCTGTCCATTACTCCAAGACCTCCATTAGCTCCTTTACCTTCTCTCCCATCTGAAATGTCTGCATAATTTTGTGTGAATAATTTGGCTGCAAGTAGCAGAAAACTTGACTCCAACTGACTTAAATAATTAGGAAATTTTATATCACAACATTCAAGGAATTAATTAGACTCCAGGAAGCCAGGACTCTGAATTCTCTCAGGTGTTATTATGGGTTGAATTATGTACCTCAAAGAATGTGGTGAAATCTAGGACCCCAAAATGGGACCTTATTTGGAAATAGAGATCATCAAATTAAAATGAGGTCATAAAGGTGGGTCCTAATCCAATATGACTGAATTTTATAAAAAGGAGAGATTTGGACACAGACATACACAGAGGGGAGGTCATGTGAAGACACATGTGGAGAAGATGGCCATGCGATTGGTGTGGCATTTACAAGCCAAGAACCTCCAAGGACTGCTGGCCAACACCTAGAACTACAATAGAAGAGGCAAGGAGAATCAGAGGGAGCATGGGCCTGCCAACACCTTGATTTCTGATTGCTAGCCTCCAGAACTGTGAAATAAGAAATTACCATTGTTTTAAGTACCAGTTTTTGGTACTTAGTTACAGTAGCCCCCAGCAAACTAATGCAATTGCCTTCTCCACATACTGCCTTCATGTTAACAAAATGCATGTGACATTTCTAGAGGGGCGAGGGGACCATCTCTGCCTGAGTCTCCTTAGAAACAAGGCCATCTTTCTCAGCACCATCCCCTCTTCCCTCAGCAAAGGATCTCTCCTGTCTTACTGGCAAGATCCAATAACTTGGCCACTCCTAAATGAATCATTGGCAATATGGCTGAAATAAAAATGACAGGCTTAGATTAATCATATAGCACAAGATGAATATTTCAAAGACAACCACAGAAACCTCTAGAGTGGTTGGACCCAAAAGCTGAATAAAATTTCTCTCTTTTACCTCTATGTCAAAGCTCTCACATGCCCAGTGCAAACAATGTGGCAGGAAGAATGGCTGGTGTTTCATTTCTTTTAAATAAACATGTGGCAGGAAGAATGGCTGGTGTTTCATTTCTTTTACCAGAAGCATCTGGGCCTCAGCTCCTTCCCACAATGCTTAGATAATTCCTGCAAAGCAGCCAGTGTGGGGGGCCTGGCACATACTAGATCCCTGCCCTCCTTCCCTCTTTTTATGGCAGTCGTCACTTTCTGTCACATGCTAATGACATTTATGCACAGATTTTTTAAAAGTATATTTATTGATTTTTTAACAGAGAGGAAGAGAGAGGGATAGAGATTTAGAAACATGGATGAGAGAAAATCACCGATCAGCTGCCTCCTGCACACCTCGGTTTTTTTTTTTTTTTGTCTGTTTTGTTTTTTTAATATATTTTATTGATTTTTCACAGAGAGGAAGTGAGAGGGATAAGAATAGAGACTTAGAAACATTGATGAGAAAGAAACATCCACCAGCTGCCTCCTGCACACCCCCTACTAGGGATGTGCCTGCAACCAAGGTACATGCCCTTCACCGGAATCAAACCTGGGACCCTTCAGTCCACAGGCCAATGCTCTATCCACTGAGCCAAACCGGTTTGGCTATGCACAGATCTTATCAGCTCTACTAGAGTACAAGTATCAGAAGTGCTTAACACTGGGATGTGTAGCATCAGGAAGGACAGTGGGGCAGAAACAGCCAAGAGAGCCTCAGCATACAATCCCTTGAGATGGAGAAAGGGTGCTTGAAATTTTTCATGGAGAACAAAAGAACATATCCATAAAATATAATAAAACAGCTTTGTCATCTCAAGCCAATACCTTTCTCCAAACAGACACACTGCTAAGTAGAATTAACAAGGAAGAGCAAGTCCTGCTGAGAGGCAATATCTTGCAGTTCCTGTTTTGTTGGGACTAATAAGTTATTTTAAAGGAGAACAATTCAGATTAACTTTTCATAATGAAATAGTTCTGTACAGGTTATAAGACTGGTCACTAAAATAATCAGGATAAGCCCTCATTTGTTTTGCAGTTCTACAAATGGGTATCATTTTTATGCATAAATAATACGCTACCCTCCATAGCATGAGGTACTTGCGTTTTAATATTATTTATTTGGTATGTTTCTAATTTGTATTCTCTAAATGCTAATTACTTGCTCTATTGAATTTTCACTTAAAATCATGTCTAAATCAGTTATACAATATAAATGGTAAATGCTATAAAATACTTAATTACAAATTAATTTCCCCATTTTCTCTCTACCAAAATGACTAATTGTAGTTTTAGTTGTGCTGAAAGAATTACTGAGAAATTTGAAGAAGCAGCATGATCCTTAATTTATTTTTCATTATTTTCCAGGTGTTGATAGAGTTTAGAAATATTTTTTTAATAAATTCAAGGTTTATTTTATCTTCAGAGCATGATTACTTCAATTAGTATTGCTGACACCCTTATTAACTTTTATTTTATTATTCTTTCTTTCATATATTTTTTATGAAACATTTTAGACATACAAAGAGATATCAAGAAGAATAAAATGTATTCTTCAGCTTAACAAGCAGGTTGGCAATGGCTCTGAAGTCCCTGAGTTCCCCTACCCTCATCAGTTTCTTCTCTTTCCCATAGAGAACCACTTTTCTATTTAAATTTGATATTTATAGTTTGTTGCTTTGTTGTTGTTGTTGTGTGTGTGTGTGTGTGTTTTGTGTGTGTGTGTGTGTTTTATCCCTTTAAAGCTCTTAGTGCATATATAGGCTTAATTGCAAATCACACATTTGCATAATTTCCACCTACCTGCCATGTATGGTTTCATTCTGCACTGTTTCTTCTGCCAGTTGCTTTTTTTTTTTTTTTTTTGCTAAACACAATGCTTGTGAGATTTGCCAATATGAGTGCATGTAGCTATATTTTATTTGTTTTTCTTGTGGTATAACATGTAACTATATATTGCATTATATATGATGCACTACTTATTTTAAAAAAACTGCACAATTATTTTTCCATTTTCCTACATGGCAAACAAATGGTAAGGTGGGCCTTCAATATATCTGACTCACTGAATAATCCCCTTCCCTTGGGTTTGGGAAGGACTTGTGAATGTGATTGGATTTAATTCCTCTGAATATGTTGCTTATCACTCGGAGTCAATCAAAAAGCAGATAAGAGGGTTTCCTGTTGGCCTTGAAGAAGTAAGCTGTCACTTTGAAGGGCCATGAGGCTAGGACCTGAGGGTGACCTCTAGGAGCTCAGAATAGCACTCAGGCAACTGTAATCAAGCGAGCAGGATCCTCAGACCTGCAACCACAGGAACTGAATTCTGATAACCTGAATGAGGGTAGAAGGAGACCCCATGCTCCGCATGAGACCACAGGCCAGCCTACTCCTTAACTTCAGCTTATACACCCTGAGTAGAGAACCTACCAACCACCATACCCAGACCTCTGACCTATAGAAAATGAGGTAATAAGCCAGTGGTGTTCAAAGCTGCTAAATTTGTAACACAAATATAGAAAACTAATGCATGCAGGACTTTTTAAAATATTTTTTATTCCAAATAATGCTGCTCTGAACATTGCACATTAACTTAAGCACATGTGAAATTCTGCACATGTGAACATTTCTTTAAGATAGGTGGGTAGGATTGGAATTGCTGAGTCTTAGAATGAAGCTTTCTTAACTTGCATTACAAAATATTTTTACCAATGTATCTGCTGTCAGCAATATGAGAATGTTCTGTACCCCAGAACATTCAGTCTTGTCAGGCTGTGTCTTTTAGCTCATTTACTCCAAACTGATTTTTGTGGTTGTTGGGATATGGAACAATCTTACTTTATTTCCGTTTAGATAACCCATTCCCAGTATTGACTAGTCTATCCATCCCCTGCAGTTCTGAGTACCAGCTGGAATATGATTCCCTATGTATTTCCCTAAGTCAAAGCACAAAGTTCCCTTTTCATGTCCTTGTACCATAAAACTTCTAGGGAACCCAATAAGTATCCATCTTTACTTAGGTATCTCAGTTAGCCATCTCCACCTTTTAGTGGAATGGGACTTTGCCCCTTTGTGCCAGACACAAGATTTAAAACTGAAGTCTAGCAAAGA